TAGGGCTAGGTTTAGGGTTAGGATTGAGGTTGAGGTTAGGGCTAGGTTTAGGGTTAGGATTGAGGTTAGAGTTTGGGTTAGGGTTTGGGATTGGGTTTTGGTTAGCATTAGGGGTAGGGTTAGGGTTGGGGTTGAGCTTCGGATTAGGGTTAGGGTTAGGGTCAGGTTTGAGGTTGAGGTTAGGGCTAGGTTTAGGGTTAGGATTGAGGTTAGAGTTTGGGTTAGGGTTTGGGTTTTGGTTAGCATTAGGGGTAGGGGTAGGTGTAGGAGTAGAGTGAGGGTTAGGGTAAGGGTTAGGGTTGAGGTTAGTATTAGGATTAGGGTTAGGGTTAGGGTTGAGCTTCGGGTTAGGGTTAGGGTTAGGGTTAGGGTTAGGGTTAGGGTCAGGTTTAAGGTTGAGGTTAGGGCTAGGTTTAGGGTTAGCATTGAGGTTAGAGTTTGGGTTAGGGTTTGGGATTGGGTTTTGGTTAGCATTAGGGCTAGGGCTAGGGGTAGGAATAGAGTTAGGGTAAGGGTTAGGGTTGAGGTTAGTGTTAGGATTAGGGTTAGGGTTAGGGTTGAGCTTCGTGTTAGGGTTAGGGTCAGGTTTGAGGTTGAGGTTAGGGCTAGGTTTAGGGTTAGGATTGAGGTTAGAGTTTGGGTTAGGGTTTGGGATTGGGTTTTGGTTAGCATTAGGGGTAGGGCTAGGTGTAGGAGTAGAGTTAGGGTTAGGGTAAGGGTTAGGGTTGAGGTTAGTGTTAGGATTAGGATTAGGGTTAGGGTTAGGGTTAGGGTTAGGGTTGAGCTTCGGGTTAGGGTTAGGGTTTGGGATTGGGTTTTGGTTAGCATTAGGGGTAGGGGTAGGTGTAGGAGTAGAGTTAGGGTTAGGGTAAGGGTTAGAGTTGAGATTAGTGTTAGGGTTAGGGTTGAGCTTCGGGTCAGGGTTAGGGTTAGGGTTAGGGTTAGGGTTAGGGTTAGGGTCAGATTTGAGGTTGAGGTTAGGGCTAGGTTTAGGGTTAGGATTGAGGTTAGAGTTTGGGTTGGGGTTTGGGATTGGGTTTTGGTTAGCATTAGGGTTAGGGTTAGGGCTAGGTGTAGGAGTAGAGTTAGGGTTAGGGTAAAGGTTAGGGTTGAGATTAGTGTTAGGATTAGGGTTGAGCTTCGGGTTAGGGTTAGGGTCAGGTTTGAGGCTGAGGTTAGGGCTAGGGTTAGGGTTAGGATTGAGGTTAGAGTTTGGTTTAGGGTTAGGTTAGGGTTAGGGTTAGGTTTGAGGTTAGGGTTAGGGTTAGGGTTAGGGTTAGGGTTAGGGTTAGGGTTATTATTAGGGTTGGGTTTTGGGTTTGGGTTGAGGTTAGGGTTAGGGTTAGGGTTAGGGTTAGGGTTAGGGCTAGGGTTAGGGTTAGGGTTACGGTTATGGGTAGGGGAAGGGGTAGGAGTAGGGGTAGGTGTAGGGCTGAGGTTAGGGTTAGGGTTGAAGTTAGGGTTAAGGTTTAGGGTTAGAGTTAGGGTTGAGGTTAGGGTTAGGGTTAGGGTTACTTTTAGTGTTAGGATTGGGGTTTGGGTTGAGGTAATGGTTAGGGTTAGGGTGAGGGGTAGGGGTAGGGGTAGGGGTTTGGTTGAGGTTAGGGTTAGGGTTAGGGTTAGGTTTTGGGTTAGGATTGAGGTTAGGTTTGGGTTTGGATTTGGGTTTTGGTTTTAAGGGTAGGGCTATGGTTAGGAGTAGAATTAGGGTTAGGGGTAGTGATTGGGTTAGGGTTAGGGTTGAGGTTAGTGTTAGTGTTAGCGTTAGGGTTATGGTTAGGGTTAGGGTTAGGGTTAGGGTTACGGTTAGGGTTATGGTTATGTTTAGGATTAGGGTAAGTGTTCAAGATGAGGTTAGGGTTACGGTTAGGGTTAGGGTTAGGGTTAGATTTCGATTTGGGTTTGGGTTGAGGCTAGGGTTGAGGTTAGGGTTAGGGTTAGGGTTAGGGTTAGGGGTAGGGGTAGGGGAAGGGGAAGGGGAAGGGGTAGGGTTGAGGTTAGGGTTAGGGTTGAGTTTAGGGTCAGGGTTAGGGTTACGTATAGTGTTTCCGTTGATGTTAGGGTTAGATTTAGTGTCAGGTTTGAGGTTGAAGTAAAGTTAGGTTTAGGGTTTGGATTGAGGTTATGGTTTGGGTTTGGGTTCAGGTTTGGGTTCGGGGTAGTGGTTAGTGTTAGAGTTATGGTTAAGCTTCGGGTTTGGGTTAGGGCTAGGGTTAAGGCTAGGGTTAGGATTGAGGTTCTGGTTCGGGTTTTGGTTTGTGTTAGGGTTAGGGTTAGGGTTAGGGTTAGGGTTAGCATTGCGGTTATGGTTAGGGTTCTGCTTGAGGCTTGGGTTCCAGACCCTTGATAATCTTGGTTGCTCTCCTTTGCTCACATTCCAGCTTCTCAATATCCTTCTGAAATTATGGTGTCCAGAACTGGAGACATTATGCCAGGTGTGGTCTGAGCAAGGCAGAATAGATCAGTACTATTACTTCTCTTGATCTGGACACTACTTCTGCTGAGGGAGTCTAGAGTAGCATTAGCTTTTCTTTTTGCTTCTCACACTATTGACTCATTTTAAGCTTATGGTCTACTAAGGCCCCCAGATGCTTTTCACATGTACTACTGGCAAGTCAGGTGTTCCCCATATTATATTTATGCAGCTGGTTCTTCCTGCTTTAGTGTAAAATCTGACATTTGTGCCCATTGAAATTCATTTTGTTAGTTTGGGCCTAGTCCCTTCAGGTCATCTTTTTTTTTTTTAATAATTTTTATTAACAGGCCAATCACATCACATTATCACATTGATTCCAAATTATACAGCCAAATTTTAAATTTTGTTGGGGGTACCCATACATCAAGCTCAGCTCGAGTCCAAAACAGCATCACTTATCTTACTGCATTAATTAGACAGTTCTCTCCAGTTTGATCCGGAAAGTCCTTTGTTACTTCTTTTCTCTTCTTGTTGTTATCATAAATTCCTTTCTTTGCAATCTCTGATGATTTTCACAAGCAGGATAACAGCTGGCATTCTATGTGGATTTTGTACTTTTCCAAAAATCATATCGATCCGGGACAGCCTCTGTACAACGCTTCCATAAACAAAGTTAATCTCCGATCTGTCCTTTATTTTTCCCAGGCTTACCAAATAACAAATGAGTCTGGGGGTTCTGTCAGGTCAGACTTACATTCCAACATTCCTTCTCTTTCAAACAATCCTGATTCTCCTCCCCCAGTCCTTCTTCCTCGGTAAACCTATCATGGCGAGACGCCATTTTTTAACTGCGTCATAAAAAATTTCTTCCTTTCTCACCGTTCTGCAGTCTTCTTTCCGTCCCACATAGTTCTTAAAATCCTGCCTGTGATTCATAGAAACGCGACGATCTTGTTTCTATCTGGGGTGAAGGGTTATTAATGTCACATCATGCAAAGAAAAAAAGAGTTTTTTTCCTCCACTCCCCCTTCGTTCCAAACATACAGTCTCCTTATGGTGATTCATCAAAAGATTTACTTATCCATCCGTCACTCCTGGTCGCAGAGATCCATTAATCAGCAGTCTTATCTTCGAGCTTTACTTGATGTATGTGCTTTCAGCTTCGTTTCCAATCGTATGTTTCCAATTATAATTCCAGCTGAAGCAACCAGCACGCGCTAATTGGAATCGGCGTCAGGAAGGTCTGACTTCACCGAGGGCCTTTTGCCAAGTGTTCGGCACCCCCATCACTCGTTTCAGGGGGTGCATTGTGAACACCGCTGGCAGGGCAGTTCTCCTCCACATCCTGGAGGAGTTCAGGAAGGCTACATACTTCCCATAGTAGCCCCTTAGTACCTCGTATGGGTCAGAGAGATGTTATTGTCGGCCATCTTCCAACGCGCCACCTGGTGGCCCCTCCTTAAGGTCATCTTAGATCCTGATTCTGTCTTCTGCATTATTAGCTATCCCTCCCAGTTTGGTGTCACCTGCAAATCTGATGAACTTCTCCTTAATTCCTTCATCCAAGTTATTTATAAAGACATGGACCCAGGACAAAACCCTGAGACAGCACCCCATTTGTCACTTTTTTCCAGGATGATGAGGGTTAGGCTCGTTCCTGCCAACAGCAGCAAAGGAGGAGGAGGAGGAAGGAGCAGCCCCAAAGGACCCTCACTCGAGTATAAGCCCGGGGGGCTTTTTCAGCATAAAAAATGTGCTGAAAAAGTCGACTTATACTCGAGTATATACGGTATGTGTTTTAGCAGCTGGTGTTGACATCAAGCTGGTTACCTGGGTCTTCTTTTTTTCCCCTTTTGGAAGATGGGTACACCATTTGCCCACCTCCAATCTGCAGGGACCTCACCTGTTCGCCAAGAATTTCTTCAAGGTGTCTGTCAACCACCAAAGGCTAATTAAATAAGAGTGAAAAAACCTATACCACCTAATGCTCTGTGTGTGTCTTGTATGTATCCCACAAGGTTAGAAAACTGAGACATCACTGCAGAATTTTGTAAAGATCTATCCCAACCTTCACCAACCATTGTCTGGAGTTACTGTCTGTGGGCTGGATTTAGAAGGCGATTGGGCCGGATCCGGCCCCCGGGCCTTAGTTTGCCTACCCATGATCCACACTAATCACTTGACCAGCAGAAGGAGGGTGACTGATCAGCTGCCTTGGACTCCAGAAGTTTAGCAATGCTTTAGGTATAGGAGGGAGGCAAAACAGTGTTTTGAGCAGCAGGTGTGAAAGAACTCTAGTCTACTTTGCCTATGGTTGCTCAGGTTTCTGAATGCTGTTGTGTGCACATACAGCTTTCACAACTGATCGCTGGACCAGGTTGGCACCTTGACAGTGACAACTGCATATCTAGCTGGCCATCAGCCAGCTTATCAAGAGAGCAGCAGCAGCATAGCTTGGCTGTCATCCTATGACGTGTTGGGCAGCCTATCAAGGGTATTTTTTCCCTCTCTTTCTCTCTCCCTCCTACCACCCGCTGCTGTATAGAAACTAGTCATGGTGACCTGACATGGTGGATCCATTTCTCACTATAGCTCCTGCACTCACAGGCCAGTGACAAGGTTAATGCAACCTGCTCCTAAAGAATGCTGATTTGTTGCTAAGGGGATGAATGCCAGGGAAATAAAAGACAGGAGTGTTCACAGCTCTTAGTCCTGTCCAGTATGATTGCCACAAGAAAGGAAGACATCATTCAGAGCAATAGTTTTAAGAATCAGGAAGGTTTTATACCATGCCTGTGAAGGGAAAGAGGAAGAAATCCAGCACCCAGCTTTGCCTAGATGGTAGGATTGCTTGTGTGATTTTTCTCTTTGCAAAAAGCACACACAGAGCGCTCGGCTCTTTTTAACAGAGGCTTTTTGGTTTTTCATGAGGACCAGTACAGAGAGAAGGTGCACATTCAGAAATAAGGTCCACACACACCCATGCAGGGAGAAAACCCACCTTGTTGCACTCCCTGGATCATGGATTCTCTTCCAGGAGCATCTTTGAAGCCCTAGTCTACAACAGATTCAACACCGTTTCCCCAGCTCTTAAACCCTTATTCCTAATTGCAGTGACGTGTGAAAACGTCACTGTGAGCAAAAAAGCTAATACAGTGGTATCTACTGGCAGAGGAAGAGGAGTGCGGGGAGAGCACACCGCCCCTGGCAGCGCAATCCCGGTGGGGTACCATTGCGGCTGCCCCCCCACCCGCACTGGGCACCACGCGCCCAGGAGATGCGCCACGCCCCTGCGGGCAGCGTGCCACGACCTTGCAGGCAGCATGCCACGCCCCCGGGACGCACACCAGCCCCGGCCTGCCTGCTCTCTGCCCCCCGGTGCCGGAGCATGAAGCTCTGCCACTGGTGGTACCTCGGGTTACAAACACTTCGGGTTACAAACGCTTCGGGTTACAAACTCCGCTAACCCGGAAGTAGTTACCTCGGGTTGCGAACTTTACCCCAGGATGAGACCCAGGCACCAGCCAACTAAGACTGTGAACAGCAAGAAATAGGCATGGAAAAAGTAACAAGCGTCAGAGAGCATGCCATCTGGCATAGGGCTGTTGCTTGGCAGACATTTCTGATATTTTGAATCACTATGAGTTTGTGTTGAATTGTATTAGTTGTTGGATTAACTTGTCACTGGAATAAATGCCATAGAACAAAATTCCCAGCCCTACTTGGAGGCACTGTAAAGTGAACTATGGATTTTTTGCATGGAAGATAAAGGTAAAGGTAAAGGGACCACTGATCGTTAGGTCCAATTGCGGACAACTCTGGGGTTGTGGCGCTCATCTTGCTTTACTGGCTGAGGGAGCCGACATACAGCTTCCGGGTCATGTGGCCAGCATGACTAAGCCACTTGCGGTGAACCAGAGCAGCGCACGGAAACGCCGTTTACCTTCCCACCGGAGCAGTACCTAGTTATCTACTTGCACTTTGACGTGCTTTTGAACTGCTAGGTTGGCAGGAGCAGGGACCGAGCAATGGGAGCTCACTCCGTCGCGGGGATTCGAACCACCGACCTTCTGATCGGCAAGTCCTAGGCTCTGTGGTTTAGACCACAGCGCCACCCTGCATGGAAAATAACTGCATGCAAATAATGCCCTTCTTCCTCGGCAGCGACACCTTTAGCTTAGGTATATAGATGCACCACTCACACATTCTCTTTACTCCCCTAAATGAGTCTCACAAAGTGTGTAGATCCCATGAGGACAGGGCTGTCTCCAATTTCCCCCAAAACAATGCTCTGCTTGCTAACTGAGATGCATCTGGGCTGGAGCTCAAATGACTGACTTCTCCAGAGAAAACAAATTCCCCTCACACAGAAAAGAAGAGGGAGAAGGGTTCTAGTCTACCTTTCTCCATGACTTGCCAGCAGTTTCCTATGTGCATGGATCTATTTCCACTGATGGGTATTCAGTTAGGTGAACCTTCACCATCAGCCTGAAGTTGTAGAGTTCAAGCACAGGTTTATTATCGCCTTAATTTAAACCCCACCAGTCTACTACCCTTAGTAGCACAAGATTGTCATGAGAGCGCTTGGACTTAAAAGTGCCAACCAAAAGCTTTACTTTTCTGGTTTATCATCACAACAGTTATTAACACTGGGCTTCAGTAAGGCAAATAATTTAATTAGACAGTGCCTATATGATATCGAGCGACAGAACAATTTGGCCACAATAAGGAAATTTTGTCCATGGTATGATTATTTTCCACCTAGTCATTTTGACACTTTGGCACTCTATTTGCAAAATTTAACAATTCCAAAATACAGACGCGCTTTCACTTTCGCATGATTGAATATACTGCCTTCGACTGTACTTGAAGGTTGATTTCAAAAAATTTGCTGGAAAAACGGTTATGTCTATGTGGAGATGACAGTATTGAGTCAGTGGCTCATGTACTTCTGGCTTGCAATCTTTATAAAGATTTGAGGAGTGAGGTTATTACCCCTCTATTATTGTCTGTGCCAGGTCGCTCAACCATTCCTGCTGTGTCCTTTCTTCTAGCAAATCAAGATGATCAGGTGACAGCAAAACCTGCAAGGTTTTTAGCAGGGGCAATTAGAATAAGATCTATTACTTGATTATTGATGTAAACCTCCAAAACGTATTTTGTATAGTTAAGTTTTTACCTCTATCTTCAGTAGATTTTATTTTATTTTATTTTATTTTATTGCTATGGCTAGTGGCTGATGCAAATAACGATTCTTCTTCTTCTTCTCAAAGATAGCCAGGATTAAGCCATGATGATATTTGAGCCTCCTTGATTTCCTGGTGCACTTCCTTTCTCCAGTTTAGCTGACTACTTGGACCAAAGCACAGCCATGTTTGGCACTGCTGGTGGTTGTTTTTTTGTGGGTTTTTAAAAAACCGCTTCACAGCTGAAGGTCGGCTTACACAGGCAGGCAGGCATTCATTGGAAATGTTCAGCCAATCTATCTCAGCTAGACTTAATCAATAACCTAATAGATGGTGGACTTCCTGACAAGGAAGAAAAAAGTCAGCAGGAAAGATGTGGATTTGCTGCCTTCCTAGCTACTGTGCTGACCTGCTGCTAATGTCCAACTGGGCATAGTAAACTTCGTTTGTAGATTCCTGCTTTTGTCTTGTCCTCACAGCGTGTCAGGGCTGGTTCTACAGCCTCTGAGTTTGTTCTTCTTACAGTTCACATAGGGCTGAGTCCCATGTTCTCCTCCTAATGAGGGGGAACGTGTGATTCCCCCATCCCAAAACACAGATATTTCCTTTAAAATGTAAAAATCTGCCCAGATGGACATGTTGGCCCGCCAAAAGAGGATATGTCTGGGTTTTCCCGGACGTATGGCAACCCTAGATTCTGAGCACTTATCTGCCTCTTCTGGAATCCCAAACAAAAGGAGCAGACTTCCACCTGCAGGTGAAACAAAGGGCTAGGGTGACTTTCACAGCTCAATATGGTTTCCTCTTATCTCCTCATATTCTCATGAGAAAGAGGAACAGCAGCAGCAACTATATACTGACCCCTAAGCAGCAGTGCCTCACATATTCTGACAGTGGACAAAAATGCCTGATTAGCATGCCAAACATTGGTTCATCTGCATGCAAACTAAGTGCTCTACCGCCAGGCCATGTCCCTCCTCCAAATCTTAAGTGGAGAGCAGCAATTCCTACCCAGTAGTCAAGGTGCTGCTGTTTTAGCCCCAAGACAACCACAACAGTGCTAGCTGTGATAAGTGGGACCTGCAAGCAGATGTTGCTGTGGATCCTCGCTCCCTAACAAGGAAGCTCCTGCCAAGAATTCCAGCCAGCCTGATGATGTTGGACTACAACTCCCATGTTCCCTTACCATGAAGGTGGTCTCAGGGCTGGTACTGGTGCAAGCTAGGAAGCCACAAGTCTCTGCTGTAAGCTGCAAGAGGATCAAGCAGGC